ATTTTTCAACTATAGTAAAAGAAATTGTTAAGAACCAATCAAACTGATTGAAAAAGGGTTGAATGAAAATATGGACAGCACCATTAGGTTATCTTTCTTATATTTTATTTTGGGCTTCTTTCAGCGGTACCAAGAAGACAGCAGCTAGTAATTTGCAGCAGGGATAGTCAGTTTCCTGCACAGCTGCTACAGAGGATGTAGACGCTTAGATGCTGCATAAGGCGTGGGTGAGATGGAATAATATTAGTCTTCACACCAGGAATCAACAAGGCTTTTCCCAGCTGTGCTCACAACAGAAACCAACATCAAATACATTGCAAGGATAAAATGTAGGGCTTAGCTGTAGAGATGGAAGTACAGTGAGCTTTTCATGCCTGCAGCCACAATTATACTGTTGGGTTAACCATAGTTGTGCTGTTAAAAACACATTACATCTTTTAAAATATCCAGCGACACCAAGCACCCACATTACTTACTAAGCCTTGGCTTTTCCCCTTCAGTCCCTTGTGATTAAAGGTAGATTGGGATGAGATTTTAGAACAGTTTGGAAAAACAATTTATTTCTCTGTTAAGAGCTATTGTTTTCAAGCTTAAAGTGTTACTAAACCCAGAACCCTGCATTCACTGTATCCAGTTCTCCACTACACACAACATGGAAATGCAATTAGTTTAAAAATATATAAACTGCTAAATACAGTGGATATAAAAAGTATGCACACCCCTGTTAAAATGTCAGGTTTCTGTGATGTAAAAAAATGAGACAAAGATAAATAATTTCAGAACTTTTTTCACCTTTAATGTAACCTATAAACTGTACAACTCAGTTGAACAAAAAAGCTGAAATATTTTAGGTGCAGGGAAGTAAAAATAAAAAACTAAAATAATATGGTTGCATAAGTGTGCACACCCTTAAACTAATACTTTGTTGAAGCACCTTTTGATTTTATTCCAGCATTCAGTTTTTTTTGGTATGAGTCTATCAGCACGGCACATCTTGACTTGGCAATATTTGCTCACTCTTCCTTGCAAAAACACTCCAAATCTGTCAGATTGCGAGGGCATCTCTTGTGTACAGCCCTCTTCAGATCACCCCACATATTTTCGAATGGATTCAGGTCTGGGCTCTGGCTAGGCCATTCCAAAACTTTAATCTTCTTCTGGTGAAGCCATTCCTTTGTTGATTTGAATGTATGCTTTGGGTCGCTGTCATGCTGAAAGTTCCTCTTCATGTTCAGCTTTCTAGCAGAAGCCTGAAGGTTTTGTGCCAATATGAACTGGTATTTGGAACTCTTTATAATTCCTTCTACCATTACTCAGGCCCCAGTTCCAGCTTAAGAAAAACAGCCCAAAAGCAAGATGCTGCCACCACCATGCTTCACTGTGGGTATGGTTCTTTTGTTGATGTGCAGTGTTGTTTTTGCGCCAAACATATCTTTTGCAATTATGGCCAAAACGTGCAACCTTGGTTTGATCAGACCAGAACACATTTTCCCACATGCTTTTGGGAGACTTCAGATGTGTTTCTGCAAAATTTAGCCAGGCTTCGATGTTTTTCTTTGTAAGAAAAAACTTCTGTCTAGCCACTCTACCCCATAGACCAGACATATGAAGAATACCGGAGTTTGTTGTCACATGTACCACACAGCCAGTACTTGCCAGATATTCCTGCAGCTCCTTTAATGTTGCTGTAGGCCTCTTGGCAACCTCCCAGATCAGTTTTCATCTCGTCTTTTCATCAATTTTGGAGGGATGTCCAGTTCTTGGTAATGTCACTGTTACGCCATATTTTCTACACTTGATGATGACTGTCTTCACTGTGTTCCATGGTATATCTAATGCCTTGGAAATTCTTTTGTACCCTTCTCCTGACTGATACCTTTGTATATTTCAATATTTTTATTGAAAATCTGTAAAAGGTACTATACAGAAAAATAGAAAACATAGCTAACCTGCATGGCGAGTTGTGGCAAACAATCAGATTCATGGAATATATAGGCACATAAGAATACATCAACCAATGATGTTGTAAACAATAAAACACAACCCCAATAAGGTAGCAAACATTCCATCGGTCAGTAGGCATGGGCAGTATCATATAACCAACTAACAAAAATAAGGAGACCGAAAAAAATAAACAAAAAGAATCGAAGAAGAGGATAAAAAATAGATCAGAAAAAAAAGAAAAAAAAAAAGGAGAGAAGAAAGAAGGAAAGAAAGAAAAGAGGGCTAGCCATAGGTCCATTAAATAATAGAGATATACCTAATCCATGTTTCCCATGTTTACTCAAATTTAGAAGAATTATTGTTAACGACACTAGTAAGTTTATCATTTATCATAATGCAATTAAGTTTCTGTTTGACCAAGTCTAACGGAATTGTTGACTGTCTCCAACATCTAGCTATAGTAATTCGTGCCGCCAACAAAAGATAAAGAATGAATTTAACTGATTTCTTGGGAATATCAGTGGGCAACAGATGAAATAAGGCTACTTCCAGTGATCTATGAATATTAATTCCCGTTACCGAATAAATGAAGTTAAATATTCGGATCCCAAATCTATGAACCACAGGACATTTCCGCCATATGTGGAGCATAGTGCCCTCTTGTCCACAGTGTTGGAAGCAACTGGGTGATACAGATGGGTACATTTTAGCTAGATGTGTAGGAACTAAGTACCAGTGAAGAAGTGTTTTATAATTAGATTCAATATGAGTAGAATAAAAATAAATTTTAGATAGAGCATTGGGTGTAGTCAACCAAGTGTCCAGATCTAGAGAGCTGTTCAAATCCCTTTCCCACTGAATCATATAGGAAAGCTTAATACGTGGATCAACAAGGGAAGCATAAATATTGGATAATTGACCTTTCAACATCCCAGTAGCCCCACAGGAGATCTCTAGAGGGGTGAGAATGCAAGGTTCTACAAGTAATTTGAGTTTATTGGTGATAAAAGATATAATTTGATGGTATAGAAACAATTCACTGGAGGGCATCTGGCATTTTGTCTGAAAATATTGGAGAGAATGAGGACGAAGTCCATCTAAATAGTCCCCAATACACAAAAAACCCTTATTGATCCACCATTGAAACGCAGATGGTGTTAGACCAGGAGTAAACTCAGGGTTACAAAAGACTGGAGCTAAAGGGGTATATAGGGAACAAAGAGGTATGCGGGCCTGCTGCCATCTACCCCAGACCGATAAAGAATAGGATAACGTAGGACAAAGGATAGGAGGACGCAACCGACTAGGAAGCCACATGAGGGAGCCAATAGCATAGGAACGGCAAGATAAGGCCTCAATGCCAACCCACTGGGGAACATAACCCCTAGCGGTAGTACAAGAGAGCTGTGCTATCTGAGCTGCCTGAAAATAAGTCAGAAGATTAGAAAGTCCCAAACCACCATGCTTTTTTAGGGAAAATGAAGTCAACTTGTTAACCCGAGGACGTTTTCCTTTCCATATAAATCTAGAGACTGCTTCTTGTAAAAGTAAAAGTTCCCGTTTGGGTACCATGGTCGGTAAAGTCCAAAAGTAATACAATAGTCTCGGTAGAAAGGTCATCTTAACAGAATTATTCTACCAAACCAGGATAAAGGAAGATCCTCCCAATCATGTAAGTCAGTCTTAATTCGTTTAAAGAGAGGGGGGTAATTGGTCTTACATAGCGACGAGATAGAGCTCATGAGATGAATCCCCAAATAAGGGGAGAACTGGAGGCCCAACTGAAAATCAAAGTTGTCCCGAAGATATTGAACCTCCGAATCAGGTAGAGAAATATTTAAAGCAATTGTTTTAGAGGAATCAAGAGTAAGACCCAAGACCATAGAAAAGCGGTGAAATAGGTGGAGGAGACTAGGTAAAGATGTTCGAGGGGTAGATATATACATAAGGACATCGTCAGCAAATAAGGCACATTTATGATCGCATTGGCCACAGTAGATACCAGAAATAGTAGGATCAGAGCGGATAGCAATAGCAAGTGGTTCCATTGCCAGAGCAAAAAGTAGAGGGGAAAGGGGGCAGCCCTGTCTAGTACCTTGTTCAATAGACCGAGGAGCTGATTTGTATCCACGAATGGAGACCTGAGCCGAAGGATTAGCCAAACCCAAACCTACCCAATATCTGAAATAGAGTCCCAAGATAAACTGTCGACAGCTTTATGGAGATCTAACGATCTGATACATTTTTAACAATGAGATCCCTCTGATGCTTTGGAAGTTCTCTGCGGACCATGGCTTTTGCTGTAGGATGCGACTGAGAAAATGTCAAGAAAGACCTACTAGAACAGCCGAACTTTATTTGGGGTTAATCAGAGGCACTTTAAATGATGGCAGGTGTGTACCGACTCCTATATAACATGATTTTGAATGTGATTACTTAGTTCTGAACACAGCTACATCCCCAGTTATAAGAGTGCGCACACTTATGCAACCACATTATTTTAGTTTTTTATGTTTACCCCCTTCCCCCCAAAAAAAGATTTCAGTTTGTTTTTTCAATTGTGTTGTACAATTTATAGGTCACATTAAAGATAGAAAAAGTTATGAAATGATTTATCTTTGTCTAATTTTACAGAAACCTGACCTTTTAACTGGTGTGTAGACTTTTTATATCTACTGTACCTTTTTCTCATTAGCAGTATATAGCAGTCTTGTAATTTATATCAGTGTCCAAATGAGCACTGGTTAATCTTGTAGAAGGGGTTTTCATTCTTCTCTGAATGTGCTCTGAGGCTGCATGACCCCTGACCCTCTGTCCGGACAGAGATGATTGGTCCTGTGCGGGGAACTGACTTGGTGTCACTGACATCCCCAGTGACAGCAATACAGTGATCAGTGCTAATAAAAAGCACCGAGACTGTACTAATGGCACTGAGAAGGAAAAGGTTAACATGTGGGGCAATCAAAGGGTTAACTGTGTGCATGCTTCACTGTATGCAGGCTGCTTTGTATGGCTCTGCTACACAGTGTGCAGGAGCTGACAGGGGAGAGATCTATGTTTATACACAGGTCTCTCCCCCGTCGGTAATACTCAACGATCGCCGAGTGCCGGCGGGGAATCACCGCCGAGGTGACAGCCGAGGCAGTGCCCCCCCTACCCAGAACTGCAAAATCACGTATATATACACATGATTTTGCATACCTGTGCTGCCCTGTAGCAGTATTTTTGTTATAGGGCGGCACAGAAGCAGTTAAAGTATAAAGGCTGCATTCACACATCTGAGAACTGGCAGGCAGGGACAGTTTTTTCATGGCAATGGGCTTTTCAGATCTTGGGCTGGACAACAAGGAGCTTATTGTCTGACCATAACCAATTCAACAGCAACTTAACAATCACTGCCCTACAGTTAAGGGGAACTCATCATGTGCATTTTAGTTGGTAGAGTTTTGGCATGCCTCCATTCTCCATTTGCAGCAGCACTGGACGTTCTACAAATTCTTACTGATGCCTTAGAACATACACCGATCAGCCATAACATTATGATCACTGACTTGCTGTTGTGAGATGTTCCCAGTCTGCAGTGGATCAGAAATGGACCAAGGAAGGAAAACCAGTGAACCATTGACAGGGTCATGGCCAATTGATGCATATGAAGAGCTAAGGCAGGCTTGTGTAGTCCAATCCAACAGAAGAGCTACTGTAGCTCAAACTGCTGAGAAAGTTAATGCTTGTCTCAATAGAAAGATGTCAGAATACAGTGCAGCATCACAATCTGCTGCATAGCAGCAGACCTTTCAGGGTGCCCATGCTAACCTGTGCCAAAAGCACCTACAATGGGCATGTGAGCATCAGAACTGGACTATGGAGCAATAAAAGAAGGTGGCCTGGTCTGATTAAATCAAGAATGAGGAACACAACAACGAGTTTTATGTGTTGACTTGGCCTCCACATTCTCCAGATCTCAAAACCATTCCAGCACATGTGCTGAAAAAGAAGTCTGAACATAAAGGCTCCACCTTGAAACTTACAGTTGTGTTCAAAATAATATCAGTATGTTGAAAAAAGTGAATAAAGCTCAAAATCCTTCTAATAGCTTTTATTTCCATACACACAAATGCATTGGGAACACTACACATTCTATTCCAAATCAAAACATGAAGAAAAATATATCACATTTGTGTTGTTCCTCAAACAAATTAAATAAAAGTGAATATTAGACTGTTCAAATAAAATAGCAGTGTTTGTATTCTTCTTTACAAACTCAAACATTCACTATATAAACTGAAAAATGTTTGAAGATGTTGCTTTCCTTTGAATCACTTAATTAATATTTGGTTGTATAAGCACTGTTTCTGAGAACTGCTGTACATCTGTGTTGCATGGAGTCAACCAACTTCTGGCACCTGTGAACAGGTATTCCAGCCCAGGATGATTGGACTACATTCCACAGTTCTTCTCTATTTCTTGGTTTTGCCTCAGAAACTGCATTTTTGATGTCACCCCACAAGTTTTCTATTGGAATAAGATCCGGGGATTGGGCTGGCCACTCCATAACGTCAATCTTGTTGGTCTGGAACCAAGATGTTGCACATTTACTGGTGTGTTTGGGGTCGTTGTCTTGTTGGAACACCCATTTCAAGGGCATTTCCTCTTCAGCATAAGGCAGCATGACCTCTTCAAGTATTCTGATGTATTCAAACTGATCCATGATCCCTGGTATGCAATAAATAGGCCCAACACCGTAGTATGAGAAACATCCCCATATCATGATGCTTGCGCAACCATGCTTCACTGTCTTCACAGTGTACTGTGGCTTGAATTCAGTGTTTGGGGGTCGTCTGACAAACTGTCTCCGGCCACTAGACCCAAAAAGAACAATCTTACTGTCATCAGTCCACAAAATGTTGCGCCATTTCTCTTTAGGCCAGTCAATGTGCTCTTTGGCAAATTGTAACCTCTTCAGCACGTCTTTTTTTCAACAGTGGGACTTTGCGGGGGCTTCTTGCAGATAGCTTGGCTTCACATAGGCGTCTTCTAATTGTAACAGTACTCACAGGAAACTTTAGACCTTCTTTGATCTTCTTGGAGCTCATTGTTGGCTGAGTCCCTTGCCATTTTGGCTATTCTTCTATCCATTCGAATGGTAGTTTTTCGCTTTCTTCCACGTCTTTCAGGTTTTGGTTGCCATTTTAAAGCATTTGCGATCATTTTAGCTGAGCAGCCTATAATTTTCTGCACTTCTTTATATGTTTTCCCCTCTCCAATCAACTTTTTAATCAAGGTACGCTGTTCTTCTGAACAATGTCTGGAACGACCCATTTTCCTCAATTTCAGAGAGAAATGCACTGTAACCAGCATGTACAACATTTGCTGCCTTCCTTCCTTAAATAAGGGCAATAATTGCCACCTGTTTTTCAAAGAATGAATGACCTCACTAAAAGAACTCCACACTGCTATTATTTTGAACATGCCCCTTTCAATTAGTGATTCAATTACACAGAATCAGCAGCATGCATGTCATGACTGTTGGGTCTGTTGGATTTCTATTACTCTACTACACCTGCTAGTAAATTATTTGTCATGTAGAAATATCATTTCTACCAAAAACAGTGATTGATCAGGTTAGTGATGTCTGACTGCTATAATTTTGAACACAACTGTACGAGATTTAAAGGATCTGCTACTGATACCACAGCATGTCTTCAGAGATCTAATGGAGTCCATTCCAAGACAGATTATGGGGCGGTCATAATGTTATGCCTGATCAGTGTATGAATCCCACTGGGATACCTAATATATTTAAAAGTATTTTACATTTACAGTGGTGACAAAAAGATGTAATTACCAAGCTTGTAAGGTACCCAAAATAAGATAAAAAAGCTTTTTGTTTAACTAGTAAAACCAGTAATCAGGGACTGAGTCATTTAGCAATATATATATATACTTCTAATGTCAGGAATTCAGATAGAAATGAAGGCTTAATGATTATGAACATACTCAACTGAAGGTAAGGAAAGAAGCATGTTTTAAATAGCTTCCTAGAATTCAGAAATCAAAAATGGACAGCAGGAAACATTGTCTTCTTCACAAAGATGTGCATGCAAGATGTCTGTATTTTATATTGGACTGAATACGGCAATGTCTGAGCTTACACTGTTATTACTCGCAGTTATGCTGGTCTGTCTTTTGTGCCATTGCAGCAAATGTACGCGTGTTTACTTTTGTCATGAAAATATTTCCTAATGTTCTGAAGTGATTACATGAAAATGAATTAAAGAAAGCAAATTTCAGTGTGCTTAATACTATACTATTTTATTAGACCAGACTCTATTATTTTTATTACAGATGTACATTTTAGATGAGGTGGGCTGCAATAACAGAATGCCAGAATATTGACTTAGCAGCCCCCACATTGATCAGTTGTGTAAATCTCTGCACTGCAGCAACAATGCAGTTCTGCATTCAGGTGAAGAATATGCTGTATGCTGTAGATCAGTCAAAGTTCCTGATGTGCTTGCAACTTAGTACGCTGAAGAAATACATTTGTTATGGTCGTAATTCCTGATGGCAAGCACCTGGATTATACCCATGAATGTGTTTACTGACAGTGTGTGCAGGATTCATCAGGAATATATTTTTTTATATATATTTTTTATTCACATGTCTGTGGTTCCCTTCAAAATGCCATCAAGAGGGAAACAAGGTAGGCATGGCGACAACCAGACCCAGTCACATGAACCTCATTTTCTTGGTCAGAATTCTATTTTTTCTATATCCATGTAGCTTATACTATCAAAACACCTTTAGGGCCAGATCACACTACATGCATTTCAGTTGCTTTTTTTTCTGCATCTAAATCGCACAGAAAGTAGAATATATGGTTGTCAATGTCATAGAATTGGCATTTGAATTCTAAGTTATTCTATTTGAAATTTGTATTTCAGAGGATGGTTATATTCTGTTTGAATTGTCTGTTCTATTGTTTTTTTTTCTATTCTATTCTCTTATTTTCTATTCTTTTCTAATCTATTCGAATTCAGATTAATTCTATTTGAATTTCAGAAGACAGTTATATTCTGTTTTATTCTATTATATTGTTTTTACTATTCAAATTTCAGAAGACAGTTATATTCTATTCTATTGTTTTTCTATTCTATTCTTTTCCAATTTATTCTATTTGAAATTAAAATTTTTGGAAGAGTTATATTCTATTTTATTCTATTGTTTTTTTCTAGTCTATTCTATTTGAATTTATTCTATTTGAAATTTGAATTTCTGAAGACCGTTCTATTCTGTTGTTTTTTTTCTATTCTATTCTTTTCAAATTTATTCTATTTGAAATTAACATTTTTGGAAGAGTTATATTCTATTTTATTCTATTGTTTTTTTCTGGTCTATTCTATTTCAATTTATTCTATTCAAAATTAAAATTTCGGAAGACAGTTATATTCTATTTTATTCTTTACTATTGTTTTTTCCATTGTAATCTATTTTTTATATTGTGTTCTATTGTTTTTCTATTCTTTTCTATGTGTGTCTTATTTCTATTCTAATCTAATCTTTTATGTTTTATTCTATTGTTTTCTATTCTGTTCTAATTATTCTCTTCAAAATTCGAATTTTGGAAGACCAGTTATACTTTATTTTATTCTTTACTAATTGTTTTTTCTATTGTAATCTATTTTTTATATTGTATTCTATTCTATTTTTTTTCTATTCTTTTCTATGCTTGTCTTTTTCTATTCTTTTCTTTTATGTTTTATTCTATTGTTTTCTATTCTGTTCTAATTTATTCTCTTCAAAATTCGAATTATGGAATAGTTATTTTTCTATTTTATTCTATTCAATGTTTTCTATTTCTATTCTATTCGCCTCTATTATTTTCTATACCGTTCTTTTCTATTCTAATTTATTCTGTTTGAAAGACAGTTCTATTTTATTTGATTCTATTCTATTGTTTTTACTATTCTATTCTTTTTTTATATTGTATTCTACTCTATTCTTTTATTGTATATTCTATTTTATTCTAGTCTATTCTGTTCTTTTATGTTCTAATCTATTGTTTTTGTACACAAATTCAATTCGATTTGAATTTTGTTTCATTGTTTTGGATTCGTCACTAACATAATTTGGAAATTCTGAGAAATCCGAGTGTCCAAATAACAAAAAATTGTCCGAATTTGAAACTAAACGAACCACACATGTCTAAAACCTATGACAGTCAGCGCCACCTAGTGCCCACAATCTGGTATTTTCCCCATTCTCACATTATCAATCTGCAGAGATAATAGCCTAAGAACATTTGATTCTGTCTCATTAGTACATAATAAAATTACATGCAGTTTCAATGGACCAACAGAGGTGTATTTATAAAAAAAAAATTGCATAGCTAACATTTGTAAGTTCACTGTGACTCCCAAGGCACTTTCAGACTGTAACAAAAATATGTCATATGAGACATATAGGAATAACCAACTGCTGATCAGGAAGCTTTCCAGCATGTCCCTTCAACAGAAGTAGATCAAACAATCAGGGACTGCCACACAATGATCAAAATTTGATTTGTCCCTGCTGAACCAGATTAAGCATTCAGGGGCGTGTCCTTTGTCCCTCCAAACCTGGAAATACTAGGATTTTGAGGAGCTGCAGTATACTCCTACAGCAGGTTAAAATGCTTACAAAATATTTGTGGTGCCTGCTATTTAGCAAACCTGTTACATTTGTCAAGTCCAAGTTGATTATAGATTTAAAGTATCCAACAGTTGTTTATAACTTTGGAGGACCCGGTGGTGAGATCCAGTGGTGTATTTAGGTTTCATGTTGCCCTAGGCAACACAAAAATTGTCTCCCCCCCCCCCCACAGAGAGACCCTGACACTGACAGACACCCCACGATAAGATCCTGACATTGACCAAGAACACCCCACCCCAGTGTCCTTTCTTCCATCTCTTCTTTAGGGGGCAGTGATGCCACTGCCCCCCTGAAAAAATGCTGCCCTAGGCAAATGCCTTGTGGTTAATACACCCCTGGTGAGATCTGTGCATTTAAAGGATAAGTTCAGTTTTTAAGAAAAAAAAAAAAATAAGTGCACATATTTGTGCAGGAAAAAAATGTGCATTTATTATTTTTTTCCTGCAGGAGCCTAGAAAACATTGCACCTGTGATCAGTAGATCAAGGGTGCAATGTCATGCTTCTGAAGACAAGCCCTGCAGCTTTCTGCCCTTGCCTTCATATGGGCTGTCTGTTGAAAGCTGCAGGGCTTGAGTGCTGGTTCATATATATGCGGTTTGGATGTGGTTTTAACCGCATCCAATCCGCATGACATGTGAAATAACATTGCTTCCTATGGTGCTTGTTCACATATGTCCGGTACATTGCCGATGCAGATTCAGTGCAGTTTAAAAAGAGAGTCATGTCCAATTTCTGAGCAGTGCGGTTCGGTTCAGGTGCGGATTACAGCCTATTGACTTCTATGGGAACCTTTTCTAAACCCGACGTGTGAACAGGATAAAATCCTGAACTGATACTGTCCTGAACCTGATGTAAACCTGATGTGAACCGGTGAATAACTACTGTTAATTATCTGTGAAACCTGAGCTTCAATCCGCACCGCACATGTGTGAATCAGCACTGAATGAACTACAAGGGTGTCCAATTTCTGAGCAGTGCGGTCTGGTTCAGGTGCGGATTACAGACTATTGACTTCTATGGGAACCGTTTCTAAACCCGACGTGTGAACAGGATAAAATCCTGAACTGATCCTGTCCTGAACCTGATGTAAACCTGATGTGAACCGGTGAATAACTACTGTCAATTAGCTGTGAAACCTGAGCTTCAATCTGCACCGCACATGTGTAAATCAGCACTCAATGAACTACAAGGGTGCTCATCAGTGCCCTCACAATTCATTCAGAACTTCAAAAAAGCATCAGCCGTAGTGGATGACAGTAGTTGTAGTTAATTTTTTACAGGAAACGGTGGAAGAATGATGCTGCCATGTCGGCAGCTCCATGCACGGCTGTGTTATTTTTAAATTGTGGCAGCGGGTGCGGGAAGAACAAGAGCACTTATTCTTATAACTTTCCAGCGCTACACAACTCTGGCAGCTATTACAAGAAATCCTACAGGATATTTTATATTTTGATAAATGCAACATAAATGGAAACACCCAATGGTGGGAATAGGAATTTGGAACTACTTTATGAGAGACATCATCAACAGAGTATCAGAGAAGCATAGGAAATACCAGCAAGTCATGAAAGGTGGGAAGATTACAGCCATTCAGTTCCAGAAACTTTACATGCAGTTTTGTTCATATTTGGCTCAACTTTATCTTTAATCACATAATTTCATACAATTTATAATAACTATTAATGTAGAATTATAGCATTTAAAGAATTTGCTGCAGCACTTAAAGTGGTATTAAATTGAATTTTTTGGGGCTTTTTTCCCTTCTGTTTCACCTGGTGATATGGCCAATCACGCACCTCCTGTATTGGAGTGCCCTCACTCTATATGAATGAGCACAAGAGGCACAGCAGACAGCAGCATTGCCAGTTGGGATTGGGGGGGGGGGGGGGGGAGTAGTGTTAAATGTATAGCCGTTTTAAGTACACTAACAAACTGAATCAAAACTCCATCTCACACTTATAAGCAGTTACAGAAAACATTTTTTTCCATTTGAGATAAAGGTTTTATATGAATAATAAAAGCTGATCATTGTAAGCACCCGTCAGTGGTAAATGGTTTGTCTCATCCCTGTTAACTGTTGTTTTTCAAAGAACAAGCTCTCTTTCAGATGCATCAGACTCACTGGCTGGATCACCAAATGAAAAAAGCAAGCCCAAAAAAGGAAACGAATGCAGCCATCACATATAAGAATTGGTATGCTGCAATATAACCAATGCTTAATACCGCTTTGAATTATAAGTACAGCTGCATTCACAGTTTTCTCTTATTCACTGCTGAAGTCTCACAAATACCTGTTGATCCTGCCAGTGAAGTCTAATGAATGTGGCTTCCTGTGATGGGATAGCAACGTTGCTACACTGCTCCTGACTTCAGAACAGAGTTGCCACTTACATATAGGCTGTGCCTGCTTGTACTACATTTAGGTAAAAAAAAGGTTGCAGGGGTTGTGGCTACCAACATTGTCACTGCTGATTCACAAGACTGTGAACTTGTCAACCAGCATCTTGCCACATCCAGTACTTTCCACTGTTTCTTGATTGACAGCACTGTCTCTGTTGCTGAAACTATCCCCAATGAGCTGCAGTGTCTGGGGAGGAGGAATGTGTGAGACACAAATAAAGGGGGATTTGGCTCAGTCAAAGAAGGTAAATTACGTTTTTTTTATTTACTTTTTGTGGCTTATGCATCATATTACACTGGGTTTATGACTTTAGGCGGTCATACAGGAGCCTTTAGATGTACTTGAAGCATGGAATTAATTTATGTTAATACATTTTTGTGTGCAACTCAGTGGGTATATAGTGCTGAAAGTGTAGAAAACCATCAGTATCACTTGCATCAAAGTTCAGCTAAAAATCATGTGCGTATCTCCACACTCACAATTAAAAGTTGTATCCATCCTAGTTTTATACGGCACTTCACACAGTACAAATCACACTTTATTGGCTGATAAAAAAGGTGACCAAAATATTTTATTATAAAACAATCTTCTGGTGTAGCAAAATAGACATTAACAATGTAATAAAATATATGCATTCTGAAATTAAATTACAATGAAATATTACAAGTGGTAGTGTTTGGTTGGATAGCACTTATTAAATAAGTATGTTACAAGACAGAGCGATATTTACACGCAAACATAATCCATACAGCACATGCTGATTCTGGGTATGCGAAAATTCGCACTCGAACTGCAATTCTCATCTGATCCCCACGACAGCTAATTATTTCTTCACAAAATGGAGAACTGTAAGCAAATATAAAAAAAATCACTAGTTAATTTAATTGTAAATGCTATTTTTTTTTTCATTAAATTAAAAAAAAGATGTTATACTTACCTGCTCTGTGCAATGGTATTGCACAGAGCGGTCCCTTACTTCCTCTTCTGGAGTCCCCTGTTGGCTCTCTCTGCTTCTCCTTCCTACGTATGCCCTCTCCACAGGAGCTTGTGCACTGCTGATTGGGGCTGTGTGCGTCCATAGACACATACAGAGATGGAAATCCCCACCCCCTCTCATTCCTCACAGGAATTGGAATTTGAATGAGAGCTCCAGTTGCTACTTCTGTCTCCTGTGAGACTCGGTTAGCAATGGATCATGAGAAGGTGGGTAAATGAAAAAACATTCTAAAGGCTGACAAAAAGATACTTAATCCTCAGAAAGGCTGTATATATCAACACTCTATATTCCACATGACATCAAAGATACCAACAAATTTTTGTTGGTTTCAATCTATTCTGAGCCTAGGTTCACACATATGTGGTTTAAAATTGTTGAGTTTTTTAGTGCGGTTCTGCTGTGCAAATCAGATGTGTTTTTTCTATGAACACCAATGCCTTTTTAATGCAGATTACAGATACATATTTATTAGCATATCTCTCTCAAAATTTACATCAGTCGCAACCCTGAAGTGATGGAGAGATGGAGGAAGAGGGATTTTGCTCTCCTCCCGTTCTGGCAAAAGTGAAAAAGGCGCTTAGTGCCGATATACCAATCATGGATTAGGTTAATAACGTCACTTGACTTTTAATCACACCTGGGGGTGCAAATACACTATATTGTCACAAGTATTGGGACACCCCTCCAAATCTTTGGATTCAAGTGTTCCAATCACCTCCATGGCCACAGGTGTATAAAATCAAGCACCTAGGCTGCTTCTACAAACATTTGTGAAAGAATGGGTCACTCTCAGGAGCTCAGTGAATTCAAGCGTGGTATCGTGATAGGTTGCCACCTGTGCAATAAGTCCATCTGTTAAATTTACTTGCTACTAAATATTCCACGGTCAACTGTTAGTAGTATTATAACAAAGTGGAAGCAACTGGGAACAAGAGCAACTCAGCCATGAAGTGGTAAGTCACATAAAATGACAGAACGGGGTCAGCGCATGCTGAAGCGCACAGTTTGCAGAAGTCGCCAACTGTCTGCAGATCCAATAGCTAAACACCTCCAAACTTTGTGTGGCCTTCAGATTAATACAACAGTGCGTAGAGAGCTTCATGAAATGGGATTCCATGGCCGAGCAGCTGCATCCAAGCCTTACATCACCAAGTGCAATACAAAGTATCCGATGCAATGGTGTAAAGCATGCCGCCACTGGACTCTAGAGCAGTGGAGACGTGTTCTCTGGAGTGATGTACCACGCTTCTCTGTCTGGCAATCCGATAGACGCGTGGGTTTGGTGGTTGCCAGGAAAGAGGTACTATGACTTGGGTGGGGGGGGGGGGGGTTTGGTTATGGTGTGGGGTTGTTTTTCAGGGGTTGGGCTTGGCCCCTTATTTCCAGTGAAGGGAACTCTTTAAGGCGTCAGAATACCAAGACATTTTGGACAATTTCATGCTCCCAACTTTGTGGGAACAGTTTGGGGATGGCCCCTTTCTGTTTCAACATGACTGCACATCAGTTCACAAAGCAAGGTCCATAAAGGACATGAATGTGCAAGTTTGGGGTGAATTAGATTGGAGACTGCGAAACAGGTCTTCTCGTCTGACAGCAGTGCCTGACCTCACAAATGCGCTTCTGGAAGAACAGTCAAACATTCCCATAGACACGCTCCTAAACCTTGTGGACAGCCTTCCCAAAAGAGTTGAAGCTGTTACAACTGCAAAAAAGGTGGGCCAACTCAATATTGAACCCTACAGACAAAGACTGGGATACCATTAAAGTTCATCTGCATGTAAAGGCAGGCATCCCAATACTTTTGGCAATATAGTGTACAGTTGCAAGAAAAAGTATGTGAACCCCTTGGGATTACGTGGAGTTTTGCATGAATTGGGCATAAAATGTGCTTTGAACATCATCTACGTCACAACAATAGAAGAACACAGTCTGCTGAACATAATACTACACAAACATTAGATGTTGCCATGGTTTAATTGCACATAACATGTAAACATTCACAGTGCAGGGAGGAAAAAGTATGTGAACCTTTGGACTTAATAACTGGGGGGGGGGGGGGGGGGGGGAGCGTGGGAAAGGCATGTTGCAACTCCCTTATTTTGAAGAAGGTTCTGTTGGGAGTCGTTGCAGATACTCGACATCTGTTCATTGAGCATCATAGTGGTCATACGGTCCCGTACCCCTGAAGAGGGACAAACGGGCTCTTCCATGCCTGAGCAATTGTTCTAGTGGCCAACAAAAACAAACAGGAAGCCAACTTCTGCTGGTGAGCCAAGAGGCCCGGTATGGGACAATGAAGCAAAGCATACCGAGCATCCCGGGATATGGAGAGATGGAACAAGGTGAAAAGAAGGCCAAACACACGAGACCAAGGTTTTTTATATTTTTTGATAAACAAACCAAAAACAACAGAAAATTAAAAAAAAAAAAGTTTTTTTTTCTTAGTTTCTGGTATAAAAAATTTGGAAATTAGTAATTTTTCTCCTTCACTGATGTGCGCTAATGAGACTGCAGAGATGGACACTGATAGGCTGCACTGATGAGGAGGCACTGGTAGGTGGCACTGATGGGCATTGACAGACATCACTGGTGGGCATTCACAGACATCACTGATGGGCACTGAAAGGCAGTACTCATATATTGCACTGATAGGCAGCTCAGATGGGCACTGATATGTGGCATTGACAGGTGGCACTGATGAGGCTACACTGATCATCAGGGCACTGATCAGTGTAGATGTCCCCTCTGAGGAATGCCGATTACGACGCTGACAGCTCGTGAGAGAAATGCTGATAACCAGCATTTCCTTATTTACATGCGATCAGCTGTGATTGAACACAGCTGATCACATGACAGAGCCAAAGTCATCGGCTCCTTATGCTGATCGGCTGTGTCCCAGGGACACAGCGCACCACCATTGGCCGCACTGCACGCCCCCAGGGGCGCACGCGCAGTTAGAGTGGGAGGACGTCATATGACGTCCTCCCAGAACAAGAGAACCGCTTTGTGCCCATCATTTCCTTATATGGTGGGCGGGAGGTGGTTAAACACTGCGGGTTTTTTTGTTAAATTAAAAAAAGACCAAAAATTTGAAAAAAAAAACCAAAACAAAACAACCACCTTTTTCCTTCATTCTATTATAAAATTTTGCAAATAACTAATTTTTCTTCTTCACTGATGAGGCTCTACTGATGGGCACTGATGAGGAAGCACTGTAAATCAGTGTAAACAAATCATTGACAGCCTTGCCGGGTATCACTGTCTCTTTTTCATAGAAACACATCACTGTCTCTTCCTCATACAGACACAGAATGTGAGGAAAAGATTGCCAATAATCAGCAAATCTAACAAGCAGAAATGGATAAGCAAGCGGTAGAAGTCACTACAGCTGTTGAGGGAAACCCTGATAGGGGGTGGGGCGAGGAGGGTGTGTGAGGTGACGTGAGTGGCAGGGGCAGCTACGGAAGGTTCTAGAGTGTGGTGGAGAGGCAGCTGTGTGTTTGGTTGTCATCCTCCGCCATGGACTCTGCTTTACTGGAGCTTCCCACCACCCACAGAACCGCATGAGAGAAAGTAAGAGCCATGGCTCACAGCTGAATGAGCAGTGAGGGACAGCAGACCAGACCACATTCCAAAGGAACTTCCAGCTTATCATTGAGAGTGTTATCTCTTAAATGCGCATATTGACTGCGCATCTGATGAGTGCGCAGTCTTTATCAGTTTGGATACACCATCACCTACTGGATTAGACCACCAGTTGTCGGAAATCCCTGTGATATTCCATGCACTTTACATATTGGGATTTTCTTCACATTCATTTTGGACTATATGAGTCATATATCACTTTATATGCACATTTTGTCACGAGGCAGTGACGCGGATATTTATTATAAGTGTTGATTATTGGTTTCTTGCACTTCACTTTATGCACTTTTTTGTCACATACCGTGACAGGCATTATTTGACACATTGAGTCACATCATTCATTCATCAGCACTTTATTATAAGTCACTTTTATGCATGTTTACACTAAATGCATTGTCTGCGGTTATTTTCAGTTTTAAGCGCTGCACCCATTACTTATACAATCAGCAAATCAGCTGATCACATGGTAAAGGGCTGCTGAGATTGGCCCTTTACCGTGGTCCAAAGGACACAGTGGTCACAGATCGCATTCAGAGCGCGTTCTAGGAGGGCGCCTATAGACACCCTCCAAGAACGAAAGAACAGCGCTGTAGCTGTCTTTCAGCTATAGTGCGGTATTAAAGTGATTAAATGACAATTAAGATAAAATTCAAATTACGAAGAACAAAAACATGGCAACCGTTTTAGGTTGTGTAATCTGTTTAAATACTTATGTCCAGCCATTTTATTTAGAAAGACTTTTTAATACATATCCAGAATAAAAAAACACAATGGATGTATTATGTTTTGTTAGAACTAAGAAAAATTCTTACCGCATACATGTAGCAAATACCCTCCTTGCATTACGATGCAAAAAATAAATGGGGAACCCTTTATAAGTATGACCATCAGGTACTGCTCTTCTTACAGCATCTTGAAATTCCTCATTTCCTGCTGAGATGCCTGTGCTACGCTCAATCTCATATGCTGCTAGAGCAGGTGATAACAAATAGGATAGCTGATCATCCCAAACTGTTGTGAGGCCTAGATCCTGTAGAGAAAAAGTGATGAATAAACTATGAAAGGGGTTTAAATCAGCAAAACTGTAACACTGTTTGCAATGGCTATCCCCTTTGGATAAATGAAAGCAGCAGCAACTGCCTTCGCATCCCCCAAGGTAGAAACAAACACAAATAGTAAAGTAAACATGCTTATGAGACACTTAGCCATTTGAGATTCTTAAGCACAGTTATACTGTGACCTAATGCAAAACATCTCTCCTGTCTATGGGTCAAATGTTAAGTTTTAAATTAATACGTCTGACAATATTGGTCAGTCAAAAAGCTAAAGCAAAGTAAGAGGAATTTTGATTTACCAGTAAAATTCCATATCTTGGAGTACCCGGGGTTATAGGATCATACCTTCAGGAGATTTGACATTGGAAAGCTTTTGGAAGACATGCTCCTTTGGCACACCCCCCACAACCCTACCCCACTCCGTTATTCCTCAAGTTTTGTACCAACAATGCAAATTAACCAAAGAATATATTGAAGGGTGTCCTGTACTGTACTCCAAGATATGGAACCTACATGTAAGTCATAATTCCTCTTAATAGTACAGTACAGGACACAGGCAAAGTATTGAAAGACCCTTGGATGCCCCCCAGCAATGAATGAAAAAAGGTAGACAACAACTAGGCAAACAAACCTGTGCCAACAAGGATCAACAGACCTAACTTCAGAGTGCCGCTGCAAGAACCTTGTAAACATAAGGATAGACCACTTCTATGAGAACTCTGTTTTCCACTGTATAGACTGCACACATTCTAGTCTGTCTGTTTATGGAACAGAAAAATGTTTTGAAAAATTTTGCAGGTCTCCTTGTACCCAAGGGCGCATGGCGAGATGAAGGAGAATCAAGTTGCACAATGCTTTTACAGATGGAAACAATAGGCTTTTCCACATTAGCAAGCATGTTACATGAAGCTCCCTCTTCAATATAGTGGCACTTTGGTGAAGAAAAAAACTTCACATCCAATACTGTCACAATTTCCTCAATATTTCCTTCTGTGTCTGGCACGTCTACGGCAGCATATTGGATGATTCAAGTAGAGAAACAGGGGTAAAAGATGTGTGGAGTTTCTGATCCCTGAGCAAAGATGGCTGTAATTTGCCCGCGGAACTGTGACCGAGATGCAGAAAATTCAGCTTTTGTAAATTAGGCCACTATTTCCATGCATGAAATAGAGCTAGAATTGGATGCAGAGATTGGCATTAAAGCCAGTTTCTGCTCCAGTTCAAGATCACATCATCACTCTAAGATTGAGTGTTGTGCAGGCCTTTCGACAGAGCAAATGTTCACTTACGGTTGTGCAGACCTGTTTCAACAAGTCTGCGTGATAGGGCAATCCCCTGTGGAGTACTCATGGATTAGGGTGCAGACTATAGGGTAAGCGTGTCCAGAAGGAGAACACAGCAATCCAGGTGTAAACCATCCTGTAATGAATCCTCATGGTAAGAATGGGAGCAAGCACCTGAGTATCTTACAGGGGTTCCAGGCGGGAGTGGCTGCAAAGTCTGCAACCTGTGGTGTCATGTAACACCTGATCATCTACCTAAGTCTAAGACCTGAGTAGCTCAGTCTGAGTTGAAACCTTTACAATGTAATGAATACAATTTAAATAGCGCCCCGGTGTTTAACAGTAACAGTCAGAAGCATACAGGCTCACCCTGTCTTACCTGTCTATGACAGGACTGTATATAAAGTCCAAGCTTCACCCATCATGTTAGGCATACCCCTGAAGCAGGGGTGTGGAAATTTTTTTAAAAAACTACTTGTCCAGGGACTAAATCGGTGCCCCAATCTACTTGACCCTCATGACAATCTACTTGTCCTGATAACAAAAAAAAAAAATTCAGTTTAACGAAAGTATAGACTCTGGAGGAGACAGCATGGAAGCATGCTTGTGGCCCTGCATCCTAAATCAGCTAGTAAAGCTGCAACTTTGCCCATAAAATGAAACATTGTAGCTGAGAATTCTTCCCTAGACACTGCCATGTAAGGGTTAACCAGGTTAAGAAATAAGAGAAGAGTGCTGCCACAGGGGACAGAGATCCAGTCCATCAGTGTCCGGTCCTACAGAGGGTACACTGGAAGGCCCACCAGCACTATAAACAGGTTGCAAGCTGGTTACACCCCTAAAGCCACTTCCCTAGAGCTTTTGATCCTCTATACTAGTACAGAGTGAGAGACCACTCACAAGAGTACTCTAAATTTTACTGTTGGAGCAGGAAAGGTTAATGGTGTCTGTGGCAAGGTGATCTGGATCATAGGACCACAGAACCAATGCAGATGCAGTGGAGATGGGGGGAAGCCAACAAGGGCCGTGAGTGCACAGAAAAAAGTGGCACAGTATGCCCACTATATAGAGGCACAAGAGCAGAAGGGCCCAGAAAAACTGTCACAGCTCTCTTTTATTGTCACTGACTATGCGACCATCTGTGTCATGCCCATAAGCCAAGTTGATTAACCCCCTTGGACTGTATGAACCAAAAACAGACTCCCTATAAAACATGGGCAAAAAAGTCCAGCAAGGGCCCTGCAGCATACCAAGGGATAGAGAGCTGCCTTTTGTGAATGTACAAGTCACAGGTCGCAGAAGGCTGCAGGCAAAGGATTGGTGGGGGTGGAGTATTCGTCAAAATCAGGTACACCCCACCTCCAAAAAAAAAAAAAAAAAAAAATTACCAAAATGGCAAAAAGTTGAAGGGGGGTGGTTTAGGAATCAGAAAAGCGAAACTTCCTCCTTTGGGTGAAGTTCCACTTTAAGCTTTAAGCTGTCAGAAATTGTTCTCTATAGAGCTAAAGAAAAACACATTTGCAAATGTTTGTTAAAGGCTAATGAAAATCATGTCTTTCCCAGAAAGCACTATCTGCATCTAAATGGAATAGCAAACTTAAGATCCAATTAATTCAATAAGAAACACTACACTACCTGACAAGACAAAAACAAATACCATGAAGCCTCATTCAAACGGTCACTGACACCCATCATTTTTGAAGAAGCCCCTATGGGGTTGCTCACCCACACGACTCTCAAATTGGGGCTTGCCTGCAAGCCACATAAACAGGGTGCTCATTTCCATACTACAGATGCCAGTACCTGACTGAATGAGGCCTGAATATAAACAGATCTCAAACTCCAGCTTATCACAATAAAATTAAAAAAAAATATAAAAACATTTTCCCAAAAATATTGTTTTGCTTTAGTTAGTTAATTTAAAAATCAGTTATAACCGTTACACTTAAAATGTTTAAGGTAAACCTTTAAAAAAATATAAATAGATTTAAAAATGCAAAAAGTCCTACCAAAACATTACAATTTTATGCCTGTATGGACGACCAAGATGACACTCTTAAGCACACACAACAAATTCACACAGCCATTAAAGAAATATTGGATGTTACCTTTCTGTGCTCAGACACAAGAACTCGCAGCTGCAGCTCAATTTCATTACTTTCTGTAGCAGCATTAATCACGGAGCTGCAGAGTGGAGGGAATGGTGGAAGAGAGGTAATGGACCCTGGTGAGCAAACTGACTTTATTGCCTCCGTACTCATTGGCTTCCACTTGGATTCATCATGCAGATCAAATACACACAGATCAACAGAATCTGAGGGCTGACAGTTGGCAAAGAAGTGCTGATGGCTAAAAATGCAACCGATGGTTCGGTATGGATAGAGAGGCTTAGGCTGTACCACTGAAGGAGGATCATCTGGGTTGATGGGTTTATGAATGTATCTGTATGATTAGAAAATCCAAGATATTAAAATGCAGATAAATGTACTGTGAACATGAACAAAATGTAACAGAACTGATTCAATGATCACAGATCTATCCTACTTTCAGGGTTTAATCGGGTATTTAGCTGAGCCAAGCTTTTACAGCATTTGTTTTTATACAGCAAGACAGTGCACTACTCACATGTAGCATTTAAAATGACTGGCTATTTTGTAAAAGAAAAATAAAAAGTAAACAATTAAAAGAATAATTAATTTGATTTAAGTATTAAACCTTTTTTTAAATTTTTAATACAATTAGCTATTTAAGAGCATATAAGATTGTAATTAATTCAATTATTGTTAAATTATTTTTTTATAAACATCTGAATTACCTTATATATATTTACTGAGCTTTATCATTTATGTGTAGCACTTACTCCCCCTACCATGAAGTGTACACATTCTCTCTTCACCATATCCCCCAGTGGGACTACAAATCCCAAGATCACTTGCACCCATAATATTAATAACTCAGGTGCAATGCTGCAACAAGGTGCTAAACAAATGACAGAGGATGGAGATGAAGGAAAGCTGTGATTCATCCACCTCCCAGACCACTTGCCCATCCTTGACACATCATTGGCAAGTGGGCCGGTCACAACTTTTCTTTGTCTCCAGCCTCTTTATACTGACTGCTGTCAGTGAAGTGCTGGTGGGAGGGTGCGGGTTAACAGGGAAGGCTGTCTGCCCTAGACATCAATCCAGCCACCATGTCAGTTATACTGCTAATTTACATTTTACAGCTTAAGAGCTAGGGATGCAGCGAAATTTCGGCCACCAAAACATATCGGCCGAAAATAGCTCTATCGGCATTGTGACGATAGGAAAAATTTAGCTGATGCAGGTGCCGATACAGGACACTGTGTGTACTGCAGATGTGAGGGGAGGGGGGGCAGAGAAAGGCAGGAGAGGAGCAGTGTATACAGTGATTGGCTATCACTATATGTCAGTGCCGGTTTTTAAATGCAATTGCTGTTTTTTTTTTTTTCTTCACTATAGCTCAGAGAATCAGCTGTCGCTTTCCCCGAGCTAAAAGAAACAAATTTTTTTTTTTTTAGTTTCTTTACCGAGCTACGATGGTGAATTAAAAAAAAAAAAAAAAAAAAGCCGACAATTGCATTTGAAAACTGGCACTGACATATAGTGACAGGCAGTGAGGGAGCCTCTTTGTGTACACTGCTACCTCGCTGTATACACTGCTCCTCTCCTGCCCCCTCCTTGCAAACACTGCTTCTGGTCTTCCAGAAACAATCAAGACACAGGAGGACCAACTCCTGAACACATAATTGTTGTGAAAACCTGTGACTGGCTATCACAATGGTGACTGAATAAAATCCACCCCAGTTCCCACATTCCCCTCGGAGTGTATTTTTACCTTAGTCAGAGAAGATGAATGTACAAAAATAATTAAATAAAAAGCTTGACCCAAGTTAGGATTAGGGTCAAAGGTCTCGGTCACTGTGTAGGTTTAAAACAAGTTTTTTTAACCAGTGTCAATGTGTTTAGGTAGGAAAAAATAAAAAGGTAAATGTACATTATTGTTTCTAGGACCTACAATGGGTACAAATAATATACACATACAGTACAGTATCGATGTTAGGAGTAAGAGAATTTGTTTTAGGGGTGGGTCATGGTCAGGTAGGAAATTTACACCGTAATGCGTTTTTTTTTTTTTTTTAACAATTGGGGCCAGTTTTCCTTAGATAATAAAAAAACAGGATACCTCCATTGAAATTTCAACAAATGAAGGCCCAATTCATCCTGAAAAAAAACAAGGTATAATTCACTTGGATACACCAAGTAGTTGCAAAGATATGTACAGTTTTACTAACATGCCAAAGTTGCAAAATTGGGTTCAGCTGTTAAGATTTATTTGACCTTTGTCATAAAGTTAAGTACATATATCTGGCATGAAGTTAAGTACATATATCTGGCATGAAGTTAAGTACACATATCTGGCATTTACCTCTGTCCTGTCAAACTTTCCCAGAAGGTGATCGCTCCATCTGTAGCACAAGTCATCACCCATGTATGAGCCACTCCTTTTCCTTTAGTACCAACACAGACATAGACTTCCAGACCAAAGCCGAGGAGAAGACTGCACAGGAGATTGCAATGGTCTTCACAATCACCCTTAAAAAGAGGAGATGTTAAGTTACCTAAATGGGTAAACAGAATCCTACTCAGGGAAATACAGGACTATTTTATACATATGTACCCTACATAATTCAAGAGCATAATAGAAATATCAATGATACAACACAGCTTATCAAGTATCTGAACGTTCTGTTTCCCTAGTAACCTGATTTTCTTTTAGGGAAATAAGAATTAAAGTTAGAAGCTGACTGACCAGTTTCTACACAAAACAGACCTTGTCAGGAATGGGTTCACCTGCTGGTGGCACTGTGGCTCCAAGACCTGTAGGTTGTAGTTCCGGTGTCCACCAGTGGGTGTCTTTCAGCAGGCGGCCAGAAGCTCCTACTAATTACTCATCACCTGATGTTGATTGCTGGGAGGATATTTAGCTCTTCCTGTGCTACTCCACTTTGCCTTGGTGTTTTGCCCATGTGCCTCGGATCTGTGTGTCTGTACTCTGTTCCTGCACCTGCCTGCTTTTTCTCCCTGTCCTGGTTTGCTCCCTGCTCCCTCTGCCTGATCTCCCATGCATGACCCTGACTTTGACACTGACCATGCTTCTCACCCATATCCTCCTGCCTGTATATAGTTATTTATAGGCTTAGGTAGTTTGTTCACTGCTAGCACCTTCACTCATTAGATTCACTGGATTTGGTATACTGCATGTGTGTTTATATTGTTGCTTTATTTACTTTATCTTGCTTTACTGTACTTTCTCTTAAATAAATCACATTGTTTATACTATATTTGTGCTTGGTGTTCTTTGTGCAAGTCCACACATTTTCGGTCACGCCTGTTTCACAGGATACCAGCATTTAGTATCCTTAACAGACCCCTTCCAAATCATGTGACTTTGTATCACTAATGGTCACAAAACAAAGAAACGGAAATAAAACACACTCACCTTATTTCTAGAAAGGAATGCCAGCAGGGTACACCACTGCTCTTGTTTGCTACCTCCACCAACAACTGTGGCCTTTTCATAGCCCAGAACATTTACAAAGCGTGCAGCTTGTCGAGGGGTGTCTAGAAGACGACCGGCTCTCAGAGGGCGGACATAACAACAGACTGGTCGGTTTACCCAGTTTTCGTCCTTGGAAGAATAATGCCATATATGACTGTTCAATATTTTAGCATATTCAAGTGAAAACAGACAAACTGGAATTAATCAGTTTAAATCAAATTAGGATGAGTACACAAGTACTGCTTTTCTTTTATGGAAGAGTTTATTAGTGTATTTTTAGATTCAAGCACTGGCTGAAGCTCCTATGGAAAGAAAAGTCATGAGTTTGGGAGTGTCTGCTTTAGACACAGCTGTGAAAGACCTTTTGTCTTAAAGATCCATTTGAGAAGGTGAGAGTATGCCCAATGGGGATGGAGGAGGTCAAAGCAGATTTGACCCGAGTTTAAATTTATATTCTGTTTGTCACACTGCAATGGGATAGAACGAAATAGCAATTTATGGTGGACACTGTGATTTGTACTATATAGTTATCTGCTATTGCATGATTTAAAAAGCACGCATACACACACAATTTTTTTTAATTTTGACTTGGTCTAATAATGTAGTATACTTTTTGATTGTTACTGTGTTTGGGGTCATAGATATAATGTGGTATACTTTGATTGTTACTGTATTTGGGGTCATAGATATATGGGTATGCACTTTATGATTTGATGCACTAGATTATTATAATTTACACTTAGCGCAGCATAATTTGCATATATAAAGAAAATTCTACATACTTTGATTTCCTCAGTGGAATGAGATTAATAAATTAGGAGAAGGAATCTTGCAATGATCAGCATATAATCAGAATTCAGTGTATTGGAACTGGTAGAGTTTTATATTTTCTGCTAAAATTACCCTGTTGGCGCAAAAAATGTCACAAACCTGTGCAAAAATCTTAACAAGCCTTGAACTGTGGGAAGGTCGAATCTGTAAATATTCCCTCCACCATTGTTTTGTATATACCAAGAACAACCGTTCCTTCTCTGCTGTCTTCTGACGTTCTAATGTAAACTAAAAAAAAAAAAAAAACAAGAGCTAAATCAAGAAACTAATCATGGGAATACTATACTGTATATATTTCAGAATTAAAAGTGCATGAAAAAGAAGGGTTATTGTAGACCATGGCAACTAGTTTCTCCATTTCACGGTTTGTTCACAGCAACAGAAACCAAAAGGGACTTTCACTGGTTATTATGACCACTAAGAGGTAAGCAATCAATTGTGATCCACTGATAGATTTAAACTTGCAAATATGAATTTGCTTTTGCCATTCTGCTTGAATGTGCATGTGTCCTTTGCATAGCTCTCTGTAAATTGGCTAAAACATTAATATGTACAAATATTAGCAAATAACCACTTAGGTTGATGACCATTCATCTCCACTTTGGTCTCCTCAGGGCATGAGAATTATAGATCCAAGTGACTACAAAAAAAGTGAAAAGAACAATCATAGCATCGTATGCAGTTTAGTCTAATCAAGAATGTATCAAAGACGAAATGTCCACACTTTATTGAACAGGCTCAGTTGGAAGACTGCTCAAACGTTTTTACTTCTATAAATGTACTAAGGTTTGAACTGTTGGATAACATGAAAATGAATGTATAGTAAAAACTGGAAGAAAAAAAGGCTGCTACAAAAGTAGAACATTGTGAAATAAATGTGTATCTAAGGATTTTCATACATCGGCTATTATGCAAATATAACCATATGACAATTTGCATTTTAGTTTTTTTACTATATCATTCAAGTTGCAGATGTTAGCTAAAAAATATACAGAATCTAAATTTTATACAGGAGGAAGTCAGAGAAAACTGAGGAAAAGAAAGAAGGAGTGACAACTAAAAGGGAGCTGGAAACAGGCCATTAGTGGAATGTTTTTTTTTGAACCACTTGTTGCCCAAGCCAATTTTGACACTTCTTACATACTTGTAAAAGTGTGCATTTTTTTCTGGATAATTACTTAGAACCCCCAAACATTATATAATCTTTGAAAGCAAAGGCCCTGGAGAAAAAAAAAAATGGTTGTTGTTGCAATTTTTTTATGTCACACGATATGTGCACAGTGGTTTATCAAATGCAAATTTTCAGGAAACAATAAACTTAAATTAATTTTAGTGCACACAAACAGAATATGATAACCGATTTTGTGCATGGCCAGGAAATGGAAACAAACTACGGTACCTAAAAAGCCTTTATAGGTTACCAGTTTAGAGTTAATCAGGGGGTCTGATGCTAGAATTACTGCTCTCACCCTGCGGCAATAGCTCATTTATGGTGCGGTCAACATTTACTTATGCGTGCGGGACCTTTGTATGTATTTGTAATTGTGCATGAGCACAGTGGCTCTTTAAAATTATTTTATTTTAAATGATTTTTTTATACTTTTTTTTTTTTATAAATCAACTTCATTAGTAGCACAAGGTATGAACAACATACCTTGTAATAGCATATGCAGTGACAGGTACTCTTTACTGAGCAATCTAGGGTCTATTAGACCCCAGATCTCTGCTCTGCCCTCAAATGCATCTGATCAAACAGAGATTGGTTTGATCAGATGCTTTAGAAGCTGTTAACAACTCGTAAACAACAAACCAAAACCAGGTGTGACAAAATCCTGGTTGTTTCCGGTTTCATACACCATAGGGTGGGGTGAGGAGAAACCCCCTTCCGTCCCCTGTAAAAGTGATCTGGTGGCTGTATAGCTGCTCGGATCACTTTTAATTTAAAAAGTATCGTTGGCAGAACCGCTGAAACCTGTGGATCTACAGGTACCTCTATTTGCAGGAAGTGGTTAGAAGTCAACATAGAACATTATTGAGCACTTTACAGGATGTTGATCATCTTCCAAAAATATCCCAGAAAAGGTCTATTTTGATCTAGAAAGAGAAACTCACTTGTCTGTAATATTCACCAACACCAGGTCATTTATCCATTCACATAACTGGGAGCTAAAAGTACGAGTGGTTTATTGATGTCAAAAGGTATCAAACTAAAGCTCAACTGCAGTGCAAATATGTCTAAATAATATTTTCTTTTGTATTAAGAACACCCTATTATTAAAAAAGGGAGGAGAGAGCAGCGAAGTCATATAAAGCTGTTGGCCACATCATTTTTTGGAATACACTTCCCAATGATACCATCAGGATATCCTGGAAAGCTAAATAGCCGTTACAATACAAATGCAAAATATTTAACCTGTCAACTGCAATTCTCTAAGCAAGTCTTGTGTCCACACATCTCTGAGTACTACATAAATGGGATAGAAGATATCACTATTTCCTGGTTCACTCTAAGAGCTTCCTGTGTGATTTGCCTGGTTCCAGGACAGGTATTAGCGGTGCTGGTTCATTACTCAAACAGCAAACTGTTGTAGGAGAGATGACACAAGAAGCTGTAAAGTTGAGCTAGAAGACAGGGTGTCACAGAAATGTGCCTGTAATTTGGCAGGTAAAACAGTTCAGCTACATTAGTCTTTAGGGAAGTGACTAAATATATAATATGTATTCCTGTTAGCTAGATGTATTTACAAAAAGTACCTGAGCATTGACAATCTCTGGAGAGAGTGCTTCCTGTAGATGTGGATACAGCTCCAGTTTGACATTTAAAATTCCCACAGGAACTTTACACTCAGCCCCTAAAGTACAAAAGTAAAATATAGAACATTTTTAATATAGGTTTTTAAAACCAAACACATAAACATAAATCCTGGAATACAACAGCAATTCTTGACCTGGAATCTACGCAAACAGCATTTTTACAGGAAGCAAGGCAAAATGTACGACTAGGTTCACATCTGAGCGGTGTTTGCTCTGGCACAGCAGGCTATTCGATCGAATGGGCTGCTGTGCCCGTGTTTCCTGCAGGAAAACAGCCCCTCCACCTTTATAAAAATGTTTTGATACCATACATTTCTCAATAGGGGAAAGAAAAAAAAAAAAAAAAAAAAAAATAGTATTGTATTTTTCAGTGCATGGAGATTCCATTAACTCGTAATGGTACCCCCGCACGTTTTCTTAAAAGCAGTACATTATTAGTGCAGCAACACATAATTTACACGCACCTGCACAAATGTAAAACTAGCCTAAGATAATGTACTGCAATCTAATATATGAAATATAGATTTTGTATAAACATACACATATATGTAAACAAGATACAAGGTGTTGTAATTATTATTTGAGATGTGCAAATAATTTTGCAAGTACTGCTAGGAATTCATAAATCACATGGAGAATCTCACCAACACCATGGAGCTCCACAGCAAGATTTGTTGCTCCTCTATCCACACCCAACACCGAACGCCACTCCATAAAGTGAGACGCCACTAGCGTGGTTTCTCCAGAAATGTCCGTCTTGATTAATACCATCTGTACAGGATCGCAGATTGACAAAAGTGTGGTTCCATCAGCCATTCTGCTACCCTCTCCTGAAAAAAAGCAACGAATATGAATATCTATGAATTTTTTCTAATTCAATTGTTTGTGTTGATGAGGGGATCTGTCAGTTTTTTTCTTTCAACAAGCTAGTTAAAAAAAAAAAAAAAAAAAAAACTGTATGTGTACCCAGCTTAAGCCTTACATTGATGGCAGCAAAATACTTAAACTCTAAAGATACATGCAGGTAAGGAAACTTGAGGAAACAAAAGCACTGAATAAAAATTCATCACATATCTGTACAAGCTCTGAATACTAATCTTGATACTAACGGTTTACCAGGCTCCTACTACATCTTAGCATCAAGCTGGGGCATTGGTGTGAGAAATGGTTTGGTAAAATTGTTTCTCATCTCCAAATATACTACATAACAAGCGAGTAAATAATGAAACAACAAACCTAAGCTGTCTTTGTGCAGTTCCAGCAGAATTTCGTCTTGAAAGTCAGGCTCACAGGCACATGGAACTGGTTTAAAGCGGAAACGCTGGTTTCTGAAGTGCAAGTGAAGAGTAAAGAGAGAGCAGACCTGACCAGGAAGAGGCTCTGCTTCCTGAAGGTGTTCTAGGAAAGCTTTTCCACCCAAGACCTGGAGATGAAGATATCTACGGGATGGGTCAATATTAGCTGCGGAAGGTATCAAAAGATAAATCGGTAAAAAAAAAAAAAAAGTTTTGTATTGCTCTTCTGCATAGACATGTGAAATATATTATACTGCATCTTAAAATGAGCTTCTTAAGCAATAATAACATTTTATTGTTAAAGAAGAAAAAATTAAAGAGTCCTAAACATGAATTTGAGATTGTAACACTTAATTCAAAAAGCCTTTCACTAGGAGAAAAAGCATAAATGCTGGTGAAAAAGTATTACACAGATGACAGTGTTCCTAATATATCACGCACTACTTAACCTAAAAAAACCTGTGCTGACAGAAATACATAGACTATCATTGCCACCCTCTGCTTTTGAAAATGTAAGTTGTCTGCCTGCTATACTGGTCAAGTAGGTTCAAATAGCTTTTGCCTTTAGCACAAGGTTGCAGATTCAGACTTCACTTGCTACCAGTTTATTCCAGCTCAAGGATTCAATGTGCTGAAATCAGAGATGGCATTTTCACAAGCATGTCAACAGCAGCCTTAATCTGTCTAAATTGAGTAAACAGTCTAGCACAGGGGTCTACAAACTTTGTAAATAAAGGGCCAGTTCACTGTACTTCAGACTTTAGGGGGGGCGGACTGTGGCCATTACAAGTAGACATTATCCTGGCATCAGTCGGAGTAAACAACATATCTTTGGTATTAGGGGGAGGAATAGTGCCCCATCGTTGGCGTCGGTGGGAGGTATGGTGCCCCATCGTTGGCATCGGTGGGAGGTATGGTGTCCCATCGTTGGCATCGGTGGGAGGTATGGTGCCCCATCGTTGGCATCGGTGGGAGGTATGGTGCCCCATCGCTGGCATCGGTGGGAGGAATGGTGCCCCATTGCTCCCGTCAGTGGGAGGAATAGTGCCCTATTGTTGGCGTCAGTGGGAAGAATAGTGCCCCATTGCTGGCGTCAGTGGGAGGTACAGTGCCCCTTTGTTGGCGTCAGTGAGAGGAACAGTGCCCCATTGTTGGCGTCAGTGGGAGGAACAGTGCCCCATTGTTGGCGTCAGTGGGAGGAACAGTGCCCCATTGTTGGCGTCAGTGGGAGGAACAGTGCCCCATTGTTGGCGTCAGTGGGAGGAACAGTGCCCCATTGTTGGCGTCAGTGGGAGGAACAGTGCCCCATTGTTGGCGTCAGTGGGAGGAACAGTGCCCCATTGTTGGCGTCAGTGGGAGGAGGAAAACAGTGCCCCATTGTTGGCGTCAGTGGGAGGAACAGTGCCCCATTGTTGGCGTCAGTGGGAGGAACAGTGCCCCATTGTTGGCGTCAGTGGGAGGAACAGTGCCCCATTGTTGGCGTCAGTGGGAGGAACAGTGCCCCATTGTTGGCGTCAGTGGGAGGAACAGTGCCCCATTGTTGGCGTCAGTGGGAGGAACAGTGCCCCATTGTTGGCGTCAGTGGGAGGAACAGTGCCCCATTGTTGGCGTCAGTGGGAGGAACAGTGCCCCATTGTTGGCGTCAGTGGGAGGAACAGTGCCCCATTGTTGGCGTCAGTGGGAGGAACAGTGCCCCATTGTTGGCGTCAGTGGGAGGAACAGGCCCCATTGTTGGCGTCAGTGGGAGGAACAGTGCCCCATTGTTGGCGTCAGTGGGAGGAACAGTGCCCCATTGTTGGCGTCAGTGGGAGGAACAGTGCCCCATTGTTGGCGTCAGTGGGAGGAACAGTGCCCCATCGTTGGTGTAAGTGGAATGAAAAGTGCCCTATCAATGGTGTCAGTGGGAAGGATAGTGCCCCATCTTTGCTGTCAGTAGTAGGAACAGTGTACCACTGTTGATGTCAGTAGCAGGAATTATTCCCCGTTGTTGGTGTCAGTGGGAGGTACAGTGTTTTGTATTTGTGGGAGGAAATGTGTCTCAAGGGCCAGATAAAGGCAAACAAAGGGCTGCATCTGGTCACCTAGGATGCAGTTTGGAGACCACTGGTTTAGGATATCAACATGAAAGTTGAAAAACCAACAAATTTACATGCCCCTTGTGATACCATTCTGCATGGATTGCTTAATTAATTTGAAAGAGCCACCCCAAAACACAAGCAGCCCACTGAAGTCCTGGTAACCTATACTGATAAGCACAATGTCCTTCAGTGCCTATTAAATAAAAAACACATGGAATTACTAATTGGATTTGCATTTACATAAGAAAAGAGGTTTGGAAATGTTTAATGCGAACATATATAGGAAGTCTGTTTCCCCCCCAAAAAACAAAACAACTTCAGACATCCCTTTTATAGCAGAGCTAAATGAAAAAAGTAACATAGAGAAGACATACACACTTGCAAATAAATGTAATTGTTTGCTTTATTCATATGTTACATTATTCATATGCCATATTGCAAAGCCGGTTTCATTTAACTTCCTCTCCTCTCAGCAGGTGAAGGAAATTATTTTATTCTTTGCCAGGAACCCTAATCCTTCTTCCCTTCTGTTCTTTTATGTGCCACTTGCTCAGGGGCGGACTGACAACTCATGGGGCCCCCGGGCAATAGGGGATCATGGGGCCCTTGTGTCCTTGCCAAAACACAAAAAAGCCTATGAAAAAGGTACCAGGGGCATCTCATGGTGCCCCCTACTGACCCCGGGCCCTCAAGCAATGCCCGAGTTTCCAAATGGTCAGTCCGCCCCTGCACTTGCTCTAAAAGAAAGGTTTAGAAAGTCTACGGGGTTGATTTATTAAAACAGGAGAGTGCAAAATCTGGTGCAGCTCTGTAAAGAAACTAATCACCTTCCAGTTTTTATTTGTCAAAACTTAATTTGAGCTGAAGTTAGAAGCTGACTGGTTGCCATGCACAGCAGCACCAGATTTTGCACCCTACAGTTTTAGTAAATTAAACCCTATGACTTTTATACCTTGCAACCAGCAGAGGTCAAAGCCAAGGGGTCATAGAGAACCTTAGGTCCTGCTGCTATTTCTGCAAATACTAGGAAACCTACTGACAAGTATGTATGTGTTAAATTGCAACTATTAAACTATACATACTTCCCAACTTGAAACTAATATGGCTCATTCCTTACTGTAAGCATTTCCCATCCAATATGGAACAGTGTTAAATACTTTGGAAAATTGTGTCCACATCTCCCTCTCTTCACCTTTGTAGGGAACCCATTTTTTGCTCTGGGCTAGGATTCTTCTGGATATTTTAGTTGGTGGTCATGCTCCAAATTGCTTCATATTTACAATTCATATTTACAATTTCTTGCCCTTTGGGCTTCGTGTCTTTGACTCATTCAAAGACTCACATACTGTACTGATATACGTATAGATATGTAGAAACGAAACAATACATATCCAACACACTGATACTCTAATGCCACTTACTGCATTGAAGCATATTTGTAATATGAATGCTCACACACCAAGGATTACCTCCAGTATGTAACCTTTGATCATCTTGCTTCCTTGTTCAGAGAACTGGCAAGATATGTGGTTTAATACTTTGAAAAGCTCAATTATTGTTTAAACCTATGGAATCCAATTATAAACTGCTTATGGTACTTAGTCCCCTTTCGTCTTTCTCATGCGAATCCTGGGTGCCTTTCTTGGTGTTTTGGGGGGTGTAGTGTCAAAAGCACATTCAAACACATTTGATGGGAGTGTCCGGAGAATAGATGCTTTTGGTCTCACACCTAACAGATAGCCTATATCATTCTAAATAGATCCTTCAAGTAATACCCAATTAAAGCTCTTTTAAATGAAAAAAGTCAGACTGTACAAAATCAGAATTCTGTTTGCTTACTCATGTTTTTACGGCTGCTAAACAACCAATCCAGCTACTGGAGATTCCAACTATCTCCATTGAGGAGATTAAACCATGAATTAAACTGTTACTAAACCCAGGACCCTGCATTCACTATATCTGTTCTCCCACAGTACACAGAACATGGAAATGTTATTGTTTTAGTAAATATAAACTGCTAAATACTTTTTTTCATCATCAGTTAGAGCAGTCTTGTGATTTCTATCAGTGTTCAGCAGAGCACTGATTAAAGCTTGTAGATGTTTTCTCTAGGAGGACGCAGAACCCCTGACCTCTCTCTGGGAAGTGCTGATTGGCCCTGTGCTGATCACATGCACTCTCCCAAGAAAAAAAAAAAACTCTCTAGTATTACACACCAAATTGAGCATGTGCACGGTCTCCACACTATAAGTCTTATCAGGAGATAAGAGGGGGACACTGGAAGAAGGAAGGAGTCAGGATCAAACAGCCTTTTTTACACAATGCAGAGGACTAACCCCTTAGGTTCCACAGGGAGTATAATAAGCATGCTTTACTTCATATACAGACTTATTTTACTGTTGTGGGTTTAGTAACACTTTAACCTTGGTACGACATTTTAGAAAATTGCAGCAACTTTTTCTACAACTGCAACAAGTGAAAGTATTTCATTTTATCTTAACATCAGCCTTATTTACTCTACTACACAGCAGTACGCAGACTGGGAGAGGGACAGACAGCACTAGACACCAATCTGCTACATGTAGTTACTCCCCCCCCCCCCCTTCCCTGACATTGCAAGGGTTAACTGCACAATTATGCCTTGGTACCAATGATAAGCACTTCTACTTACCTAATTACTTACGTAGTCTGAAGCTTGCTCCAGCTTGTGCCCTACAGCATCCTCACATACAATGCAGAGCTGTTGGCCTTGCAATGTACTTGATAAAATCAGAAGGCCTGTGACTGCTGTAGCGCTTTAAAAAAAAAAAAAAAAAAAAAAAAGGCTACAGGGAGTTGGTCCCATACAGTGGAGGATGCCTGCAGGGGTTAGGGATTAGGCAAGTAAACAGTCCTTGTTACTGGTAACCTCAGACAGAAACGAGCATCTAACCCTTGCAGTGTCGGGGATTCCCACTGCATAGGAAGATTTTTCTTTTCCCTGGAATTCAGTTTTAAGTCATGGCACATAGTTACAGTTTGTAAGGTTGAATAAAGACACTAGTCCATCCAGTGCAACCTGTGTGTGTGTTAAAAGTCAAAAATCATTTCCCATATCCCTGTATACTGTGTTTGTTAAGATGCCCATCCAAGAGTTTTACTGAAACTATAAATACTTCCCACTGAGACCACTGAAGGGAGTTCCTAATCCTTACCACCCTGACAGTGAGAAACTCCCTTCCCAGTTTAAGGTTAAACGGCTTGTCCTCCAATTTCACTGAATTGAAGGGGGGTGGAGACGAATCCTAAAAGCTGTGCCAGCAAAATTTCTGTTACTCTCCAGTCAGTTTAAGCAAAAGTACACAGACAGAACCCGTATACACAAAGATTGTAGCAAATGATTTTGATTGTGAGCATTAGTGCAAAAAAGGAATTAAAATGCTCTACATTTCAAATATATTTGTCTTACTTTTCTTATATGTCCGTAGCTGTTTATCAACAAAAGGTGATGCTGGCTTTGGAGTTGAAGTTAGTTTTCTTGAATGACCATCCTACAACATAAAGAAACAAACACAATCATACACACGCGTGTCTTGTTGCTGATTCAACTGGTCATTTTGAGGATGAAGGGGTATATCACAGTAGAAATAACTGCAACAGCAGGCCTTATATGCTTTTCAGGAAAGGACACAGAACACTTCAAAAGTGAATTTATAACAGAAAAATGTTCAGGTGTGTAGATTTTCTTATTCTCTTCTCAAATATATTTTTAACCTAGCAAATTTTAAAACCTGACTGATGAATAAGGACAATGTAATTCGAACCGCAACATCCCTTTGACCCTTACCTCCAGGAAATGCAGCTCTTTCATGACATCATCTACAATTCCTCTCCTCCTCAAGGCTTCCATTAGATCTTCTTCTGATAAATAATGGCTTTCGTGGCCAAATTCATCTCCTATTGTCTCAGCCAGAACCTCCCTGATTTTACCATGAACATCCATCTAAATGCAGGAAAAAGATAAGCTGAAAATAATAATATGCACACCATATTTAAATAGTTAAAATATCCTATATTTTACAAAATAGATACAGTACTTACCAATAAAGAGCAATTCAAATAAAGTGAGAGTAGTCTGTGAACTATTAATGCTAGCATGAAAACATTGACACTGTTTTGGTATCAGTCACACACAATTTACAGCACTGTGCAATCTGTGTAATCCATTACAACCAGATTACAGAGATCTCCCTACATGTGGAGGGGATATGCCTACTATCTAAATCTTTCTCGATGTTACATCAATCAGGTTCACACTTTTAGGGTGGGTTTGAATTTAAATGCTAAATGTCTTGTTAGTACTGACATTTTATTTTAAACATTCTGTATGTAACAGACAGCAAGGAGTCTATAGTAGGTGTGAGTGGCTATTTGGGCACAAAAACTTTTATACAAATATATTCCCCAAGTTCACTTTAAAGTGGAACTAAACCCTCCGACAGTTTTTGGCAAATAAAGCTGCCATCTTAGCTCCTGTTTGATCTGCAACTGCCAGGGTACTGCACATGTGATCAATTATGATACCAGCCATTTGATGGTTTGACAGTTTGGTTGAAAGTACAAGCCAATGTGACAGGTACTTTCCCAACATGTTCCTGAAATGTAACTGTTTCTTAGAAACTGTTAAATTGATAAATTTAGCTACACTTTAAACCCATCAATTTAACAGTTTAAAAAAAACAGTTACATTCCTGGAACGTGTCGGGAAAGTATCTAACTGTTTTTTGAAACTGTTAAATTGATGGGTTTAGTTCTGTTTTGAAGTGGAGCTAAAGTTATCAATTTAACAGTTTCAAAAAACAGTTACATTCCTGGAACGTGTCGGGAAAGTACCTGTTTTTTTAAACTGTTAAATTGATAAATTTAGCTCCACTTCAAAACAGAACTAAACCCATCAATTTAACAGTTTCAAAAACAGTTACATTCCTGGAACATGTTGGGAAAGTACTTTCAACCAAACTATCAAATGGCTGGAAGTGCAGTGCCATGACAGTCGGAAATCAAACAGAGGCTAAGATGTCGGCTTCCTTTGCTGAAAACAATATATATAGTACTCAAGGGCCATGTCCCACTTTTAGTGATTACTGTTGGAATATACATGTGATTTTATATATATATATATATATATATATATATATATATATATACACACACACACATATACATAAATACATACATACACACATCTTTCTTTTATGTAATGCGGTAAGATGGAACGCTTTTCCTGCTCATTGCTTTACCTCCAGATTATCTTTACTGGTGTGATATATACTGTGTCACTGTAATTCTGAAGCTTTGGATACGCCTAACCGCTTTATATTCCTTTGATGACAGTACATGTTCTCTTTTTTTGTATTTGTGAAAATTTATAATAAAAACAGATTAAACTTAAAAGAAAACTCAAAAGAAAGAAAAAAAAAAAAGACATAATTTACAAAGGGTTTTGAGATGCTATAATTAATGATTACCATTCTGTTTCAACACACAGCCAACCATCACTTTCACAGCTGCCAAAAATGTTTAGCTGTCTGCAGAGCGTCTGGTCAAATTACAGGTATTCTTCACATCCTTTGTTTATTGTGTTGGGGGTTTCCTCTTAAACAGAGTTAAACCCTCTCAACCTGCATGAGCTATTCTTAATCCTTATGCTGCTAGCATTAGAAAAATTAATAAGAAGGTTTTATAATTACTTGTTCTAAACTTCTTTTCACTTTTCTTCAGTTGCTTCCTGGTTACTGGTCTAGGCCAAAATGATGTCATACATCCCAGGAGTCTTTAAGAGGAGAGGAGGGGTTTTCTCAGCTAAGCACACCCTCCTGCCTGCATGCCTGATCTAAGGGCAGATGGATTCCAGGAAGTAAATACTACGTGAATCATCTGTCCTTACTGAACACAGCTGCAGCTAGAAATGTTAGGGCATGTTTTTCAAAGTGATCTCCTTCAACGGAATAAAGAGTGGATACATGAGTTTGCTTTAAATATTACAAATAAATGAACTGGCATTTTCAGTTTGTGGGGCTCAGATACCCCAAAGTTCTGCTGTAAAGTGATAATAACGGCTCGCTTTTTATTGTTTAAAAACAACAAACATGTCATGTCACTTACCTGCTCTGGGCAATAGTTTTGCACAGAGCAGTCCCCATCCTCTTCTTCTGGGGTCCCTCGCTGGTGCTCCGGGCTCCATAAGACACACAGAACAGGGCTCGACCTCGCCCCCTGCTCCTCTTCACTGGCTCTGACTGACAGCTGCAGGAGCCAATGTCTCCTGCTGCTGTATCTGAGCCAATGAATGAGAGAGCCCAGGCTCAAGATTTAGGGGGTCCCCGGGGAAGCTGAATGCAAAAGGTTATTTACCTTGCTGCATAGAATTCAGTAATTTAAAAAAAACAAAAACCTGCATTTACAACCACTTTAAATGTGCAAAGGTCACATTCAAAGGGATACTAGCGACATAATGATTCTTACTACAACACTAGGACTGATTAGGTGTTTACACCAAAGAAAAACCCTCTCACTCTGAGAGAATACAGAGCACAGTAACTTCTGAGAATACAATAACTAAAATCTATTAAATACTGATAAGGTTGGAAACGATTTTCTTCCATAGATACCTTCAAGTGAAACTAAAGGCAAACCTTTTGTTTTCATTTTGGAAAAACTAAGGATCTCTTGGATCACACCATGTTGCAGAGCCATCAGTTTTTCTGCATGAGTTCTGCAAAGGCACAACAAAATCAATTGTTCTCTATGTACCCTGTTCACACCACAACACTAGTATCATGTGCAGATTTTTTTCTGTGCAGCAAAGTGTGTAAAACTCATTGGAGCACGCATGAAAATTGATGTAAACTGATGTTTTTGCAAGTGAAATTTGAAGGGCAGTTTCCATCAGTTTTTCCTCACATATGGTGTGAATGAGGTCTAAGGGATGGTTATAACCCCTGTCAGTTTTTAGTTTTGCCATTTGTGTCCTATTAGGGAGATTTCTCTTTACTTCCTGTCTCATAGCCAAAAAAGTGAGAGAATATCCCTCAAAAGTGAGAGAATCATTGGTTGTCACCAAGTTTAGTGTCTCCATTGGAAGACTTCCCCTCTATTACTTTTCTAATGTCAACCCGAAATGTGGGATTTTCTTTTACTTCCTCTTTCAATGAAAATAGTAATCATTATTATTATAATACAGGATTTACACAGTTTGCTCAGCACTTTACTATATATATATATTATACAGGATTTATGTAGCGCCAACAGTGTTTGCTCAGCGATTTACAATATAATATATATATATATATATATATATAAATATAAACATGACAAACACAGATGGTGAATCTCCCTAATGGGGGCACAGACAGAAATTAAACTGACAGGGGTTCTTGTTCCAACCTTGTTCCTTTAGTTACACTTTAAGGAATGATAGGATAATCATTTCTGACCAGAGATCCATCACCTAACATTGCTGTGGTGGGAAATTGAAACAGATTTTGCATTTACCTTCCATACCCATAGCCTGACTTTAAAGTGTTACTAAACCCACAACAGTAAAATCAGTCTGTATATGCAGTAAAGCATGCTTGTTACACTCACTGTGGAACCTAAGGGGTTATTCCTCCAAATTGTTTAAAATGTTTGATCCTGTCTTCTCTGATCCTCCCCCTTCTTTTACTGTCCCCAATCCATCTGCTGATAGTACAGAGGCCAAGATGAAACTCTGCACATGCTCAGTTTGGTGTGCATTGCTAGTTTTTTTTTTTTTTTTTGAGGTGGGGGGGTGCACGTTACCGGCACAGGGCCAATCAGCACTGTCCAGACAGTGGGTCAGGGGCCATGCAGCCTCATAGAACAAGCAGGGGAGTATGAAAACTTCTCCTACAAGCTTTAACCAGTGCTCGGCTGGACACTGCTAGAAGTCACAAGACTGCTCTAACTGCTGAAGAGAAAAGGTAGTTAGCTGTTTATATTTACTAAAATAATTGCATTTCCTTGTAGCGTGTACTGTGGGAGATCAGATATAGTGAATGCAGGGCTATGGGTTTAGTAACACCTTCAAGCAGAGCTCCACTCAAAAGGGAAAGTCCCGCTTTAAGGACTGCTCCCCCGCTCCCCATTAAGGATTGGCACCTTTGGGGGGGGCAGGGGAGCAGGTACCAGAATTTGACAGGTAGTCGCTCCCACTTCCGGTCCGACCGCCTAGCCAGGGGTAGGCAACCTGCGGCTCTCCAGCTGTTGCAGGACTACAAGTTCCATCATGCCTCTGCAAGTCATAGCTGTAACTGTCAGTTTTGTAATGTTGCAATGTCTCATGGGACATTGTTCCACAACAGCTAGAGCGCCGCAGGCTGCCTACCCCAGGCCTAGGCGATCGGAAACAGAAGGTGTCCTCCCTCCCCGTAATCTTTTGGTGAAACGGGCTGCGGGGGACACACCACAGGACCGAGGGACAGGTAAGTGGCTGTTTTTTAAAAGTCAGCAGCTACAGTTTTTGTAGCTGCTGATTTTTATTATTTGACAGGGTGAGTGGAACTCCGCTTTAAGCTCACTTCCCACACAATGCAGGCAATGTCATACTGGACTGTCTGAGAGACTCCTGGCTCTGCTACTTACCCTGTGAAGCTGCTCATGGATGATCTGCTTGAGCTCAGTGATCTTCTCGGGTACGGACATGGTGCAGATGGAGGAGATGGGAATCTGAGGACTCTATTCATCTGCACAGAGCGGCAAGACTCCCGGGAAGGTGACTGTCACTGCCTGAGTGATTTCTGTCAGGCATCAGCAGGACTACTACAGCCATGAGGACGCTGACAAGCCCCCATGGTGACGTGCTTTGTGTGCGCCCAAGCTGGTAGGCAGAGCTCAGTCATGTTCGTGCCGGCTGTCTCGGATTGGTGTCTCCCTGCGGACAGCACTCTGCTGATGGTAAGGTTGTAGCACGGGGTGACTGCATTGGGCAGCGCCATTTCATTGTCACCGAGGAAGCGTTTGTAGGTCGTGCACTCCATGCATATGTAGCATGCTCTGCTCCTCTAGGAAGGTCCGTGTACTGTTTCCCAGCCTCATCCTCTTCCCCATGTCTTCTCTGCCTCTATATTTTCATTACACCCTCTAAGCCAGGGGTCTCCAAACATACGGCCCTCCAGGTGTTGAGGAACTACAAGTCCCATGAGGCCTTGCAAGACTCTGACAGCCACAGGTAAGACTCCCAGAGGCATGGTGGGACTTGTAGTACTTCAACAGCTGGAGGGTCATAGTTTGGAGACCCCTGCTCTAAGTCATCGGTGTTGAATCAAAGTGGAACTAAATGCAGAGGCTTATGTTGGATAGAGTAGTGAGGATTAGAACCTCTGTCAGTTTTTTCCCCATCTGTGTCCCATTGCTGAGATTTCCCTTCACTTCCTGTCTCGCAGCCACAGCAGGAAGTGAGAGGAAGTTCCTGCCAAAGTGAGGGAATCCCAGGATGTCACCAGAATTATTGTCTGCCTTGAAAGATTTTCCTTTATTCCTGTTCTAGGAACAGCCCAACATTTTTGGATATTCTTTCACTTTTATTGATAATGGTATCCAGGATAATAAATTTTCCTAAAGGGGGAACAAACCGTTATAAAAACCTGACAGGTCTTCTGTTTCCTCTCCACGTCATCCAAAACTGAAGGAAGATTTGCTTTTAGTTATTCTTTAAAATCCAAGGAAGTCTGGTCAGTAACCTTTTCTTTCAGCAGAGGTTTAATTCTCATGTCTGTGCTATGATTCATATCCTAGGATAAATATGTAGTCCTTTTACATCTGTGAAATAAAAAGTACAATTTTCATAGCATTTCAATAATATTTATTGTTGGACTGCCCCCCGTGCATGGGGTGTGCCCGCCACACTGCCCCCCGTGCATGGGGTGTGCCCGCCACACTGCCCCCCCGTGCATGGGGGTGTGCCCGCCACAACTGCCCCCCCGTGCATGGGGTGTGCCCGCCACAATGCCCCCCCGTGCATGGGGTGTGCCCGCCACAATGCCCCCCCGTGCATGGGGTGTGCCCGCCACAATGCCCCCCCCCGTGCATGGGGTGTCCCTGCCACAATGCCCCCTGTGACTGATGCGGTGTCAGACCCCCAGCCCTTCTCACCAACTCGTGACCGAAGGACTAGCCAATCAAAAACCACGCTGTCACTTTGCATAACAATGCCACGCCCAGCTGCACCCTGCACAAAGATTTTCCAGCTCACTGGAACACAATCTATGCGCCGCAGCCTGAGAGCGATTATTACTGGGTCACGTTAATTACACAATTAACCCTTCACACTGCCACCACCACCTTTTTTTTGTACAGAGAAGGAGGAAACTCACCAATCTTAGCAGTAACACTATGATGTTTGAATAAGCGTCTGTATACACACTGTCACCGCAGGCAGATGTATGCAGAAGTTTAAAACACACAGTAGCGCTCTTCAGAGACTGGGATTCTTAGTGTGCATTAAAGAGCTTTAGAAACAGTTCAACACTTTTCAGAAAATAGGATTTATTACTAAAAAGGTCAAAACAGTGCAATAAAATATTTACAGAAAAAGATGTAGCCTATATAGAGAGAGAGAGAGAGAGAGAGAGAGAGCAATAACACACCAGAGAGATAACAGAAGTTTAGAGAGGTAGAATACTATGCTAGAGTCCTGGTTTAAGCAGATTCAAGTGTCCTGAACAAAAGGGTACTGTTTCTCCCAAAGTTGGTTCCTGATGTTAAAAGGGAGATCTCTTCATCTTACCTCTCTCGGGCCTGACAGCCTCTTTTCTAGTCCCCCAGCAGGGGGTGCCTCTGAAGCCAAGGGCTAATCCCCTCATGTGGGCAGGGGGTTTAGGCGGAGACCCAGGCTGTGACCCAAATCCCTGTCAAGTTTATACCAGGGTCAATAACCTTCCATAGGTACATGTAGCATCCTATCTACTGGTAGGATAATATGCAGAATGATATTCTGAACGTCCAGATATCAGATATGACATATCTGCCTGTGACAGTTAAAGAGATATCGCTTTCTGCTCTCGGTAGATGTAATCTAGGGATGTAAGGTATCAGGTGATTTGCATTAAACTGGCCTATCTGAATATATGCTTTGTGTTATTGTACGTATTTCCTGCGAGAAGTTATGAAATTGTATGAAAAAGTGGTTTCCAAATGAGATGTATGTTTTTTTACTGCTATTTTGGAATGCTTTCAAGTCCAGTGACTGACAGGTTTATAGCTTTATGAGCAGTTCAGAGCAAGAGTCGACAGACACCATGGCATCAGCTAATTAGGTTTACAACCATGAAGGGTATCCAGCTGTGCCCTGTGCACTCCTGAACTCAGCCACACCAGACCAAATGCCATTCAACAAAAAAAGGGAGGGGGGACTGATTTGGAGTGAGAATGACACAAGATGGAGGATCTTTAGCAACATGCATGTCCGCGTCCGTATCTGTATATACAATTGCTACACCCCCCCGTGCATGGGGTGTCCACGCCACAGCGCCCCCGTGCATGGGGTGTCCCCGTCACAGCGCCCCTGTGCATGGGGTGTGCCCACCACAGCGTCCCCCCTTGCATGGGGTGTGCCCACCACAGCGTCCCCCCTTGCATGGGGTGTGCCCACCACAGCGTCCCCCCTTGCATGGGGTGTGCCCGCCACAGCGTCCCCCCTTGCATGGGGTGTGCCCGCCACAGCGCCCCCCCTTGCATGGGGGTGTCCCCGCCACAGGCCCCCCTTGCATGGGGTGTCCCCGCCACAGCACCCCCTTGCATTGGGGGTCCCCGCCACAGCGCCCCCTTGTATCGGGTGTCCCCGCCACAGCGCCTTCTTGCATTGGGTGTCCCCGTCACAATGCCCCAGCTGCATCGGGTGTGCCCACCACAGTGTCCCCCTTGCATTTGTTGTGCCAACCACAGTGCCCTCTTTAATGTTTAGTCATGCTTTGGGGCCAGTTCACACCATAGAAACGCAGTGTGGATTCATTTCTGCATGTGCATTTTTTATGTATTCCAGTGTGTTTTTTGATGTGTTTTACTGCATTCCAGTACAGTTCTGTTTAGGAAAAATGCGGCCTGTTCTACTTTTTTTTTCGCTGGAACCGGAACTCACTGGAACTGCAAGCACTGGTGTGAACTATGCCATTGACAACCATGTAACCTACTTTCTGTGCATTTTGGATGCAGAATGAAAACCACCACACTGGAACACATGTTCCTGTTTTTAATAATCCTTATATGAAAGAAAGCAGTCAGTTGGGTGTTTGTTTTTATATTTTTAATCAAAGTTGTAGAAGTTCAATTCCCAGTGTGTTATTTTATTGTTAAATTGGAAATACAGCCAACATTTTTTGTAGTTTTGAAAAGAGTAGGAAACGGTTAAGACCTGTCGGGCTTTTTTTTTTCTTTTGCTGCTTGTGTCCCATTGGATCAGTTCCAAGCTCTTTCATTTCCATTGCCACACCATAACGGACAATGTGAAATTGTTTCATGTCTTACAAACCATTTATAAGCTACTCCCTACGGGAACAGTTCTGATACCTGCAGGTAAAGCACTTTGTTGCTTCCATGATCCATCTCCCTACTGATGGGATGACTGACCCCTTTTGAGCAAACATTCTTGGATGACCCATGCTCCCTGAGTTTGATCTCTTTGCTGTATCACTTGATCCTCACTGGCTCTACACCACCATACCATAGTTATATGCAGAAGTGGGCAGCAGATACTAATATTACTATAGAACTGGAACACTGATTGGGCCAGATTGGGACACAACCAAATTTAATATTCTCACGCTTGCACATTTGTCCCAGCGTTAGCTTATAAAATTTCACGCCAATGGTGAAAACATATTACCTACACGTCTTGCACATTTTTTAACCCAGATAGCGTTTGGGGGCATGGGGAGGAGCAGGTGTATAGAGGAGTGAGGTAGCAGGGGAGGAGTGTGTACAGAGAGGCTCCCTCACTGGCTGTCACTGTATGTCGGTGCTGATTTTTAAATGCAATTGTCAGCTTTTTTTTTTTCACTATAGCTCACAGAATTAGCTGTTACTTTCCCCGGAGCTAAAGGAAACTTTGTTTCTTTTATCTCGGGAATGAAGCTAAAAGGAAACATTGTTTCTTTTAACTCGGGAAATAAACTAAAAGGAAACTTTGTTTCTTTTAGCTGAGGGAAAGTGACAGCTGATTCTCTGAACTATAGTGAAGAAAAGAAAAGCTGGTAATTACATTTAAAAACCTGCACTGTGATATAGTGTCAGGCAGTCACTGTATACACTTCTCCTCTCCTGCCTTTCTCCGACACCCCCCCCCCCCCCCTCACATCTGCAGTACACACAGTCCCCTGCTTTTTTCAGCCAATATGTTTCGGTGGCCGAAGTTTCGGTGCATCCCTACGACACTCCCTTCAAAATTCTGTGCAATCTCGAAGCGCCCTTTAAAATTCTGCACAATCTTGAGGCACCCATTACAAAATGTAAAAAAAACTACTATTAGTTTTACAGAACGCAGCAACATCAGCAGAACACCCAACGTTAGAGGTGATGTACTCTTTCAAAGCAAATACACCTTTGCACACTGGTACTGACTGGTATTCCATTGTTTTTCTTCTCCCTCAATTTCTCTGCCTCATTCAGCTAATGTGACCCTAGTGCTTATGGAGAGAGGCAGGGGAAGG